CCATTTCAAATCCGCCACAAAAGGAATCAATTTGAAACCCGCCATAAACACAATTGATTTGTAATTCGCCACAAAAGGGATCTATTTGTAATCCGACACAAAAGGAATCACTGTATATTTTGCCACAAAGGAATCCATTCGTAATCCGCCACAAAAGAAAACCTTCTGTAGGGAGGGGGTGTAAATGGTGGGTCAATCGCTACTAGGATTCTATGAGAGGTGGATCCATCTCTCATCGGGTTCTATTAGAGGTGGAAATATCTGGAATGGGATGAGTTTGGAGGTGGATCCATCGCTAATAGGACCCCACTAGAGGTGGATCCATCTCATATAGGATTCCATTACAGGTGAATACATGTCTAATCGTATCCCATTATAGGTGGACCCATCTCTAATAATATTCAATTGGAGGTGGATCCATATGTAATAGGATTCTGTCAGAGGTGAACCCATGTGTAGCAGGATTAGATTGGAAGGTGGACCCATCTCTGTTAGGATTCCATTTGGAGCGGATCGATCTGTAATAGACTTTCAGTTGAGATGGGCCCATCTCTCATAGGATTCCATCAAGTGTGGATCCAGCTGTAGTCGGATTCCATTAGGGATGGATCCATCTGTACCAGGATTCTAGTAGATGTGGATCCATCTGTAATAGGATTCCATCAGAGGTGGGCCCATCTGTATCAGGATTCTGGTAGGATTGAATTGGGGGTGGACCCGTTTGTAGTACGATCCTATTAGAGGTAGATCCATATGTAATAGTACTTTATTAGAGGTGTATTCATGTCATGTAGGACCCCATCAGAGGTAGGTGGACCCATCCCTAATAGGATTCTCTCATAGGTGGACCCATATGTAATAGGATTACATTAGAGGTGGGTCCATCTGTCATAGGGTTCTGTTAGAGATGGATCCATCCGCACTAGGATTCCATTAGATCCATCTCTAATCAGATACTACTAGAGGTGGGTCCATCCTTAATAGGATCCCATTCGAGGTGGATCCATGTGTCACAGGATTCTGTTAGAGGTGGACCAATCTCTAATAGCATGCCATTGGGGATGGAACCATCTTATTAGGATTATATTAGAGGTGGATCCATATGTAATTGGAGTCCATTAGAGGTGTATCCATGTTTAATTTGATTTTATCAGAGGTGGATCCATCGTTACTATAATTATATTCGAGGTGGACGCATATGTAATGGGGTTCTATCAGACGTGGGTTCATTTGTAAAAGGATTATATTAGAGGTGGGTCCATCCGTACCAGGATTCCATTCGAGGTGGATCCATCTCTGATGTGATGCCATTAGTTGTGGACCCATCCCTAATGGGATTCTATTAGAGGCGGATCCATATGTCATAAGATTATATTTAAGGTGGTTTCATCTGTAGTGGGATCTTATCAGGGGTGGATCCATTCCTAATCGGATTCTATGGAAGGTGGATCCATATGTGATAGGATTCTCTCGGAAGTGGATCCATCTGTAGTACGATTATATGAGAGGTGGGTGTCTTTTGTGATGACGATGATGATGATGACGAGCATGTGTTTCAAGATGCTGCTGACGATGATGATGATGACGAGCATGTGTTTCAAGATGTTGCTGATGATGATGGTGATGACGAGCATGTGTTTCAATGCGCTGCTGATGACGATGGTGATGACGAGCATGTGTTTCAAGATGCTGCTGATGACGATGGTGTTGACGAGCATGTGTTTCAAGATGCTGCTGATGACGATGGTGCTGACCAGCATGTGTTTCAAGATGCTGCTGATGACGATGATGATGATGATGATGACGAGTATGTGTCTCAAGATGCTGTCCATGACGATGGTAACGACGAGCATGTGTTTCAAGATGCGGCTGATGACGATCATGATGATGAGTATGTGTTTCAAGATTCTGCTGATGACGATGGTGATGACGAACATGCGTTTCAAGATGTTGCTGATGGTGATGGTGATGACGAGATGCGTTGGGAGCAATGCGTTGTCATAATGAGTTCCACAGAGCATAATCGAGTGGGAAGCACAGCCCACCAGACTAAAGTTATCCTCTCTTTACCCTTTTTCCTCCTCCTCCTCCGCCCCCACCTCCGTCTCTTCTTCCTCACCCCTCTTTACTTCCAGTGGGTGAGCGCCGAAGCGCGTTCCAGAGAGATTAATAAGCCTTAGTATCTCGATTCTCTGGCCTCCGGAGGCCCGAAACAAACATTAGCTGATTACAATTTGATTTCTTTTGTTGTTGAACTACAAAAGGGAATCCTTTTGTGGTGAATTACATATTGTTTTATTTTGTGGCAGATTACAGAAGGATTCCTTTTTGTGAAGAATTACAAAAGGACTTCCTTTGTGGAGGATCACATGATGATTCCTTTTCGTGGCGAATTTCAAAAGAGAATCCTTCTGTGGTGAATTACACAAGGATCTCTTTTGTGGAGGATTACAAAGGGATTCCCCTTGGTGGAGGAATACAATGGGATTCCTTTGTGGAGGATTACAAATTCATTTCCTTTGAGGGCTCTCCTGGAAGTGAACCAGGGGACAAAAGAAAAAAAAAAAAAAAAAAAAAAAAAAAACCTGGCGAAAGACCCAACCATAAGCAATTGTTGGTAACGCGTTGTGGGTGCCGCTTTC